ATTTCAGGGAGATCTTTCATCAAACTGGCCTGTCTACTAGCAAATACAGCAAATGTTTGAGCAGATGGATGTTGTATTATTACATAAAAATGAATAAATTTCGGATTTAAAAATTCTCTCCTTTTCTTTAGACTTATTTTCTGAAGGTTAGTTCCATAGTCCTCTGAAACTGTTGTAATTGAGTATACTATATTGCTAATAGGTTGTCAGCAGTTCTTTCTCAATTGTCATGTGGTTTCTTCCTCCTAAACAAATCATATTTCAAATGCATGGAGCAGTAATATATTTGACAGTTCATTTTGTACGTTATCAGTATATTTTTCCAGTGTAAAGCATTGTCCCCCTGGATTAAAAAGATGATCACAGATTATAGAGATCAGAGCATACTATTCTGGTTATGATTGAGCTATCATAGGTTTTCTGTTTATAACCAATTATGAGGTTATAAAAAATTAATAAAACCTAACTCATAGTTATCCTTGCCTCAGATTCAGACTTGTCTTTAAATGTGGAAAGAATAATGGTTCCTATCTGGAAGTTATTCAATGTTCATTTCATAGTAGTAACTTTCTTTTTACAGATCAACTTACTATTACATACTATCTATGAGTTTACTAAAGCTACCCTAACAAAGTACCACAGATCGGGTGGCTTGAATGACAGAAATTTGTTTTCCCACAATTTTATAATCTATAAATTTGAGATCAAGGTGTTGGCAGAGTTTGTTTTTCTGTGGCTTCTCTCCTTAGCTTATACATGGCTCTCTTCTCTTCACATGAGATTTCCTCTGTGTGTGTATGTGTTCTTCTAATTTCTTCTTCTTTTGAGGATGCCAGTCATATTGGATTGGGGCCCACCTATATGACCTTAATTCTTTAAAGGCCCTATCCCCGAATATGGTGTTATTCTGAGGTACTGGGTGTTAAGACTTCAACATATTAATTTTGGGGGTACACAATGTTAGCCCATAGCATACTTGCATCTTTTTGTTTCTTTAAAGGCTATGATGGTTCTGACAGATTCTCTATCCTGAAGTTCACATTTTATTTCTGTATCCCCAGTGTATAGCAGAGTGTCTCATGCAGAATATGTACTTAATGAATGTTGTTGATTTGTTGAGTGAGTAAATAATTTAACCACTTCAGTCCAAGCATCGACTATAGTCAATAGCCACAGATGAACATACACAGCCATGCATCGAGTATAGCTGACAGCGGTGATATGAAGGCGCACAGCCGAGTGTTGACTTTAGTCTATAATTTTGAATTGACTTTTCTAATTTTTCATTTATCAAAATAAGATTGTGAACATTTAAAAATGACGTAATAAAAACATATATGTATATGTTACCTATTCTGATTTACATTACAAGTAAAGCTGCCTGTAAAGTAAAACAAGCTTTCAGTGCTTTAAAGCTTTCCTCATCACACAAGAGAAAAACGGATTCATCGTCAATGCACAGCACAAACAATCATGCGGACTATGAGTGCCGGCTGTGGGCACGGTTTCCCGGCTGGTGAACGCCGTACCGAAGTGGTTAAAAAGAACATATATATGAGAAAATGAGGTGATATAGCACAAATTTATTAGATGAGGATAGGGACATTTTTTTCAAAGATGATTAACTCCTCAGAAAAAATAAATGGATTGCTGATAAGTACATTATCACCTTATTTCAAGCTAGATTACTGATACTCTTAAAATTCATTAATAGAATGGTGCAGAACCTGAAGAGAGGTGGAAAATATTTAACATTTCTAATCATTAGGGAAATGCAAATCAAAACCACAATGAGATGCAACTTAACTCCAATGAGAATTACTTTTATCAAAAAGTTCCCAAACAACAAATGTTCACGGTGATGTGGAGAGTTAGGAACACTCATACACTGCTGGTGGGACTTCAAACTGGTACAACCTCTATGGAAAGTAATATGGAGATACCTCAAAGAGCTAAAAGCAGAAATACTATTTGATCCAGCAATCCCACTACTGGGTATCTACCCAACAGAAAAAAAAAGACATTCTATAAAAAAGACATCTATACTCGAATGCTTATAGCAGCACAATTCATAGTTACAAATATGTGAAAACAACTCAAGTGACCATCAATACATGAGTGGATGAATAAAATGTGGTCTGTGTGTATGTATATGTGTATATATATATATATATATATACACACACACACACACACACAACAGAGTACTACTCAGCTGTAAAAAATGATGAACTATGTATTGTATTATCCTGGATGGAGCTGGAGTCCATTCTTCTAAGTGAACTATTACAAGAATGGAAAACCAAATACCAAATGTGCTCACCATTAAATTGGTACTAATTGATCAACACTAATATGCACATATGGGAAGTAACATTCATTGGGTGTTGGGCAGGTGGGAGCAGGGAGGAGGGGATGAGTAAATCCATATCTAACAGATGGGGTGCTCAGTGTCCGGGGGATAGGCATGCTTGTTAGGCGGTGCAAAGGCAATTTATGTAACCAAAGAATTTGTACCCCCATAATACTCTGAAATAAAAAAGTTATATAGTAAAACTGTAAGCATATTTTTTTGTTTTATTAAAAGTTATTTGAAAATAATTTTGAGATTTCTTTTGAGTTAATTTTACTTTTTATAATCTTTTTATTGTATATATTTAAGGTGTACAGCATGATATTTTGATTATATAGTGAAATGATTACTATAGTCAAGAAAATTAGCATATCCATCATCTCACAAAATTACCCTTTTTCTGTGATAAGATCTTTGTTTTTCAAAATTTTTTTTTTCTGTTTTTATACAATTGAGAGAATTTCTTTGGCTTTCTGCTCCTGTAAGATCAAATAAGTATTTTGCTAAGCATTAGGAATACAGAGATGAATGTGGTAATACCTGCATTCAAGAAACTCACAGTCCATTGGGAAAGAGTTTTTAGGACACAATGTAACAATATTATATGGTGGCTGTCTAGTGGGAAAAGTGGTCTTTCTCATCTAGTAGCATTTTCATGTTGGGAGTTTTTTATGGTTCTGCTGCTGGAAATTGAAAGACACATTGCATTTTAAAAGAATGGCAATGTATGGAATTTAATAAAAGGAAAAAGGGACATTGGACAAAGATTTTTATTTAGAAGACTTGCTTAGTTTTAGTGAAACTAGAGTACAGTTGTTTCCTATCTCAGAACACTTTTTTTAAAAACTGATGTCATTATGATCCATGCTTATCACAATGATCTTAAACATGTCTGGGACCTGAAGTGCTTTCTTAACCATGAAAATTGTGTATTGTGTTAAATATAGAATCACAGACATTGAGGGGACCTTAGAATCCCAAATAACAACCCTTTTGTCATGTGAGAAAACGAAGTAGAGAGTAGTTTGTGATTTGGCCAAGGCTGCTTAGCTTATGCATGGCAGAGCTAGGAACAAAACTTAAAGTCTGTTGGCTTTAAGATTCTATTTATTCTTCCTCTAGTATTCTTTCCACTGTATAAAACTTCCAAAAATTATGTTTTTGTTATATTTTGTGCTTTGAAAACCAATAATACATTCATAATGTATGGTGAAAACTCAGTTAATCATAAACTATAATATTAAGGAGAGTATACAATCTTTTGTTGCTTTGGGTATACATATATTACAAAGGTACATACAGATAAACCATACTTTAACATGATCCCCAAATATCAACTACAATGCATATATATTAATATTTATATTTAAAATGGTTCTTGGCTTTTTTAAAAAGGCCCCTTTCAAACGGGAAAATTCATTACATTCATTCTCATAGCAGATTTATTTATTTTAATTTAATTTAAGTCTTATGTTTAAAAACATATGACTATTTAAAAGGATCTGGTGAAATACTGTTTTGATGTATAAGAAACATCCACTGATATACTTTCAGAGCTGATTATTCTTTATTTCTGATTGATTTTATTAACTAAAATTCCTCTGCCTAGATACTCTCTCTCTCCAGAGTGTATGTCTGACTACTTGTGTGACGTGGGCATTATTTTAGCCACCATGAAGCCTTACATATTTCGGACTATACTCTTGTCCACTTTGGCGAGAGTCACCATTGATTAATCAATTAATTGAAAGGTGAATTGATTGAGAACATTCTTGCCATCCAGACCAAAATTAATATGGTATAATGGAGAGCTACCAAGACTTCCAGACATTGTGATTAACTAGTCATGTGAACTTAAACTGTATGGGTATTAGTTTTCTTTTTTATACAGTCAGAGGATTGGATAAGATATCCCTTCCAGCTCTATTTTTTTGTGATATGCAATACATCTGAGGTTTTTTTCATCCTTGCTATTGTGATTTGTTTGGGACTAGAATTACAACTCACTTGAGTCATCACAATTGAGTAGAGTACTGCATCAAGAGGCAGAAATACTCGCTGGGTGGCTTCCTTTCAGCCTGATACAAGTATTAGGGAATTTGGCTTATAATTTATATACAAAACTTCAGTAAAATTGGGGCCACGGCCTGGAAACATTTGCTTGGGTTCTGCAGATTTTGTCTGTCTATACTAGTTTCTTTTTCATGGTTGTAGCTTGTTGAACATTTAAATATTTAAAAGGGTATAATGAAATACTATTTAAAAGAGCTCTTGTGGCTCACATTTTTTCTCATGCCTGACTACTTACAAGGTTTTATCTTGACTGTTTCTGACTCTGCCTCATAAGTCACACTCCAGTGAGGGTCTTGAGAATCTTGGTTGTAAATGCTTTTATTATATCGCTACCCAGTTGTGAGGAAAACCTGAAACAAACTTTATGTTACATGCTTTTATTTACATGGCATACAGTAGGGAAGGTGGTTTATCAGTATGTGTTACAAAACGGGGAAATGGGGATATTTGTAGCCCATAAAACTATGCTAGATTGAGGGAGTTGGGTATTACATGATTTCTGGTTCTAAATGGAGCTAATTAATCATAAGATGTTGGAACCTGATTTGAATGTTATTTGGATTTCTTTTTACAGGATGAAGGAGTTGTTAAAGAAATCCCTATTACTCATCATGTTAAGGAAGGATATGAGAAAGCAGATCCTGCACAGTTTGAGTTGCTCAAGGTTCTTGGTCAGGGATCATTTGGAAAGGTAATGAATATTTTTTCCACATTTGTTTCTCTTCTAAACATTTAGAAAAAAGTGTACACATAAACAGTAGAAGTCCAAATGTGCCATTCCTGAACTTCTCAAAGGATGTACACAAAGGTATTTCTTTAATTTTATTCCTTTTATTTCTGTTATATTTTTATTCCCATTTCTTTATACTTCTCTGTAATAATCAAGGTTTTCCATTCTTCTGGGCTTACTCGTTTATCTAGGGGAAAATGTAGCATGTTCTTTATTAGCTGCGTAAATCAAGATAGTTTGATTTTTGTAAAACTGGTTTTCCTTATCTCCCTGTTCTCATGCTGGTATGAACACAGCTTGCTCTTTCCTGTTGATTTCATCTATATATCTTAGCTTTATAACAGAAGTCAGAATTTATGTCTTAATTCATGTATGAATTCATAAGTTTATCTATTATCTGTTAAAGGAAAATAGAATAAGGGTGGGTAAAGTACAACAAAGTAGGTACTAGATGATATATAGATTGTGTGAAACTCAAGAAGCTTAAATTTCAATGGGAAAAGCAAAATTGTGAAAGGTTAACTCACTCTTACACTCATAATTAGAGTTGTTTATTAAGTTCTTAATTGCATATGGTTCTTGGAAGAGAAGCATGTAGGTCTGCTTCCTGACATTTGTACACCTAACATTAAGACATAAAAATTATTGCAGAAAATAATAGCCTTTAGGAAAACAGCAACAACCACAATTTACAGGGAGAAAGAGAAACTACTAATTTCAGAGTGGCTGAAGTTTAGTTTTAAAGGAGAAAAGTAAGGCAATTGAGCAGCAATTATTTTTGATGTTCTAGAACATTTTAAAAGAAAGACAATTATTAAGCACTCAGTGTGTGTGTGACAGTAATAAAATCAGTATCAGTGAATATAAAATAGACATTAATTGTTTTAAAGTGGCCTGATATCTATGCAGTATAGAATATAACATGAAATATATAACATGAACTATTTCAGGGCACAAAGAGAATAAACTAAGAAGGATTATGTCAAAATGATTTGATTAATTTGCTTTGTTTAATCACAAGTGCTCTTTGAAACTATTAGAAGAAAACATTGGAGAAACACTCCAGAATGTTGGTCTGGGCAATCAAAAGCACAAGAAACAAAAAGCAACAATGGACAAATGGGACTACGTCAAGTTTAAAAAGCTTCTGCACAGCAAAGGAAACAATCAACAAAATGAAGAGATAACCTATAGAATGGGAGAAAATATCTGCAAACTATTCATCCAACAATGTGTTAATAACCAGAATATATAAGAAACCCAAACAACTCAATAGCAAAAAACAAAACAAATGGATTTTTAAAAACCCACAAAAAAATCTGATTTAAAAATGGACAAAAGATCTCTAAATATCTCTGACCGCTATTATTTTCTTTCATACCACATCCTAATTCATCATTGACCCAATACAAAAAATTATTTTAAAGCCCCATAAACCAATTTTTGGAAGAAAGCATCACATTTTTCTTTTTTTCATTCCCTATTATTTTATACTGTAATTTAACCCTGCTATGCAAGGTTTATGATTGGTCATTATTTTGTACTAGCCTCCTGTACTAGTCCCAGCAGACTAGAACAAACCAGAATGAAATCACTTGTGCTAAGTGCCACATAATGAAACTGAACTGTGAAATGGGCCAGTTCCCCTTATAAATAGGAAATTCACAACAACCAATCAGAAGGAGCCCAGTTTATCTGAGCTGGAATGATAATAAAGTTCCCTCTGTTGAAACCCTATAAGGAAATTAACTTTGAAATGACCAATCTACTTTTTGTTCTGTTTCTGCTTTCTTCAGTCATTTTCTGCCTGTAAAGCCAGACTCTTTTGCTCAGCTCATTGGAACATTCATATTATTTCATAGACTGAGGTGCTGTGCAATTCTAGAATTGCAAATAAAGCCAACAGATCTTTAAAAAAAAGGATTATGTCTTGGCAGTGAATTGGTACAGGAGATATATAAGACAAGGAAATAGGACTTTGAACAGTGTGCTGGGGAGAGAAAAGCTAGAAGGAAATGTTAATAGATCAGTGGTGGTGGTGGTGGCAAGTGTTTATACTGACAAGTCAGTTTAGAACTGACTTGTAGAGTAGGCTCTTGCATTCTGCACACCTTTATTTTAAATTTCTGAAAGTACAATATTCTTTTGACTATTTTGCACTATACAGCTGTTTTATGGTGTTAATTTTAAAGGAAAGTTTTATACATGTATATCCCAAATGTATGTATGCTTAAATATTTGACTTAAGTAAAAATCTCACCAGACAGACATTTCAAGCCGTTAAAACTAGTTATTTTGTCATTTGATGTAAGTACTTATTTATCTCCAGCTTTGCTCCAGAAAGGATTTAAGGCTTTCATAGATGAATACTAAATAAAATTAAAAATATATAGTGAAGATGATAGAAACAGAGAAAACTCAGAACAGGAAAGAATAGATGAAGCCAGTTGTACTTTGTTCACATATGCATGACCTAAGGGTCTATTTGTCTTTTAGAAGTGGGGCCAAAAATGAAGACTTAAGTTGCTGGCAGTTTTATAAAGAAACTGGTATATTCAAGTGTATGATTATTGACAGTGTTTTTAAGGTAGAAACAGATCAAACAGACCAGAGAGATTGCTCTCATGGATCTTCATAAAGAAAATACTGTATAACATAATAAAATGTCTTCAGTAACATATTCTCAAATAGGAACATGCTGACAAGTTGTTAATATAGTCCTTAAATTCAGGCAACTCTCAGCTTTGTCTGTGCAGGAATTTTGGTTTAACAAGGTTATTATTGAAGCCTTGTGAAGATTCCTAATATTAAAATATAGTATAGAGATCTTTATGCAACTCACTAACCCAAGAGCTATTACAGAGGTGGCTTTATTTTCTCTTTTTTTTTTCTTTTTATTTATTTTCATTTTCCTTTCCTTTAATTTTCCCTTTTTCTTTTCATTTCTCTTTTCCCTTTTCCATTTTCCTTTTCCCTTTCCCTTTCCATTTCTTTCCTTTCCTTTTCTTTTCTTTTATCTCTTTCTCTCTTTCTTTTTCTTCCTGGGATGTGAACATACTTGCTTGTCAGTATTACATCATTTGCGTAGGCATTGTGTAGGTGTGACTTGTTATATGCTGAACCTATACAGGAATTTTTCCAAGACTGTGAATCAGATAAATGTGGGAGCAATTCCAAGGAACTTTGGGCTGAAGAATCTTATTTAAGTTTTTTCTGCAAATCTTCCATTGTTAAACTGCAATAAATAGGATTTTAGCCCATATAAAAGCCTTATAACATTAAATATCTTTATAATCTATTTAATGGTGGGAGGAACCCTACTAAATATAGCTTAAAATTTAAGGACACATTCATTATTATCATGAAAGGTGCATATAAAATTCTGTACTAAGTATACCATGTATTAATGTTCATTACTTTATGAGTTGAAATGTATACCAAACAATTTACATTAATTATTTTAATCAAATCCATGAAAATATGTTTGAAATTGTCTGAGTAGCCTTTCTTATATATCATATGCCATTGCTTTTCAACCTTTTGACTGATATCAAGTATATTATCATATGCCAAATAATATTTGTACGAAGCACACATTTTAACATTCATGGATAATGAAACAGATGATAGTTTTGTATTTGTGTTAGTAAAGCCTTTAACTATACGATTAAAAATGAATTTTTGAAGATACTGAACCCTTGTTCTTTTAAATAATTGATGAACTATTAAGTGATAGTTTTAAAACTATATCCTTATATCTTAAAATTTCCTATACTTGATCCTTTTTCTTCAATCAGCATTTAAAAATATGTGATTTTCCAGTTCACTACAGTTATTTAGTATTCTTATTGGAAAATATAAAAGTCATGTGATTGAGAAAAAAAAATATATTGCTGCAACTCATTTTTCTTCTGGAGAGTTTCCCATGATTGGATTAGGGTAACTGAAAAGAATCCTTTCACATATATGGTGTTACATGCAGTAGCTTGAAGGCATGTAACTAGTTTTGTAGTTGATTGTGGGAAGAGGGCAGAGAGAAATCATAATTTCTTATGCTATAAAAGTTCACCCATAAACCCGAAAAAAAAATTAAAAAAGAAAAAAAAAACAGATCAGGCTATGAAAATAAACATTAACTTCTCTGAACTGTAAATTGTGGTTTCTATTAGATGCCATATTGGGATACTAGTGAGTGTTAGGAGAGCTAGGAAAAAAATGGCATCTTTGTGTAACAATGTCTCCTAAAAGTCTGGACTATCCTTCTTTTTCTTCGTTGATTATCTTACCCCTGTTAGAATGGCTTTTTAAAAAAATGCCTCTTTTTGTTCTTTATACTCCATTCTTTTCAATCTTACTAAGAGCTATTCTCTAGAACAGTGATTCTCAAAAGCATGGTATGCATATGGACAATATTTTTATCAGTGATAAAATCTCAGCTTTCAAGAAAAAAGAATTTTGGAAAATTTTTATTTACTACCTTGATCTTGTCATCTTCTTAATAGGGCATACCTCTTTTTATTGCATTTCATTTTATTATGCTTAGCAGATACTGTGTTTTTTACAAATTGAAAGTTTATAGCAACCCTGTATCTAGTAAGTTTGTGGGAGCCATTTTTCCAACAGCATATGCTCATTTTGAGTCTCTGTGTCATATCTTGATAATTCTCATAGTATTTCATATTTTATTATTATGTCTGTTCTGATAATCTCTGATCAGTAATCTTTGATGTTACTATCGCCATTGTTTTGGGGTGCCACAAACTGTGTCTGTGTAACATGGCAAACTTAATAAAGGGTATGTGTGTTCTGACTGCTCCACCAACTATCTGATCCCCCACCTCACTCCCTCTCCTCTCCCTCTCCTCTCCCTCTCCTCTGGCCTTCCTATTTCCTGAGACACAGCAATATTGAAATTAGGCCAACTAATAACCCTACAATGGTCTATAAGTGTTCAAATTAAA